AGGAGAATTGGTGTACGTGAACTACGGACGAGTACAGGACTTTGAATTACTTAAAACCAACCTAAGTGTCAATGTGACAGGGAAAATTGCCATCATGAGATACGGGAAAATATTTCGTGGGAACAAGGTAATACGGGAAGTCAACATAGCTTTGAAACATTCGTCTCCTTGTTATAAGTACTGAGTAGAAGAATTTTGGCTAGATTTGAACAGGCCCGTGCAACAAAAATCTCCACTTTTAAGCTACAAAATAGAGAGTTAAAGTAGTAACGTTTTTGAGCGACGCAAGCCAACCGGAAGTGAGCCTTTTTTTGCCATTAATATGCCTTTACGCTACCAAATGTGTATCGCTGTGTCTAGTGTCTATACTCTATTAGTAAAATCCAACTAGTGGTCTATTATCAATCCTGCGTTCTGATTGGTTGAGCTACTACTAAGCTATATGTTATAGCCCACTAGTAGCGAAAAGCGCGGGCTTTTTCGCCGCAAAAAAGGATTAAAGTCCAGCTTTGACTTGCTAAATTTTTTTTATTCTCGATATTTTTGACCAACTGGTTGGATTTTACTAAAACAATTATTCCTCTTGCCCTCATGGCCTCTGAGTCAATAGCCCGTTCGGCCTTCGGCCTCATGGGCTATTGAATCAGAGCCCATTCGGGCTCGAGGAATAATTGTTAAATAGACTCAAAGAAAGAAACTCTACTTCCAGTTGACGTGCTTGATTGAAAATCGTCGCTGCTTTAACTCCTTAATGAGAATTGTGTGCGACCCGGTGGTTGCAATAGGACAATTGCACGATGACGTCATTTTACTACAACTACCAGAATCCTTGAGTATGTTGTTTTCTTGTGCAAATTAAGACTATTGTATTTTAATCCTCAGCGGGATTGACAAACTTAAATAACAAAGCAAAACCGAAATGAATTCTGGTAGTTGTAGTCAAATATCGTCATCGTGCAATTGTCCTAATAGGACAAACTTGGGTAAGACGAACGTATTTAAGGGGCTCCGGACCCCTCCGACCGTTCGCCTGGATTCGCTTCAGAGCAAAAGCAGTCATAAATCATATAAAGCCTGAGCCATGCCCGGTTTGGTCTTCTTCAGGGGTCTTAATTCTGTCCCATTTCTCAGACTTTTGACTCTCCTTTTTCTCTTGCAGGTTGCAAACGCTGCGAGGTATGGCGCCATAGCAGCCCTTCTCTTCTCAGATCCTGCCGATTACGCCAGGGCTGGCCCGGATCCAAAAGATACCTATCCTAACACTGCATGGCTTCCTGCAAGCGGTGTTCAACGGGGTTCGTTGTACACATTCCCTGGAAGTGGAGACCCACAAACACCTGCTATAGCGGCCCTTCCAGGAATGTGGCGGCGACCGCAGAATGAGAGCGAATTGCCCCCCATCCCTGCCCACCCCATGGGGTACGGAGATGCTATCCACTTTCTTAGCAAAATGGGAGGTACGTTATGTTAATGGAAACTTTGAATGGATGAATGAGTAAATGAGTGAATGAATGAATGAATGGATGGATGGATGGATGGATGGATGGATGGATGGACGGACGGACGGACGGACGGACGGACGGACGGAGGGAGGGAGGGAGGGAGGGAGGGAGGGAGGGAGGGAGGGAGAGATGGATGAATGAATGAATGAAAACTTATTAACGTGTCTGTAAGAAAATAGCTGACGGGAAAAGTGCCCTCTACTAATTGAAGACACCTACTAACACTATCTAAAATAGATAAATGAAAATAAATTACCTTATAAAGATTTTACAGTTTATATATCTAAAACTTGAAACTTAAGATTATACATTATTACGAAGTGCATATTTTACAATTTTTACAGAGATCAGTGTCAAGAATGTTGGACAGATCGGCCTTGCGAATGAAGAGTTTAAATTGCTTAGGAATGAGATATATCTTGCTTCAGATGAAAGTTTATTCCATAGTTTAGGTCCTGTATAGGGAAGGGAGTGTTTTCCAAAGGTAACAGTCGAAAATCGGGAGACTGATGCTAGCAGAGTCTTAAAATAAACAGGGTTTAACAGGGATAGGCTAAAAGAAGAGGAAACGCTCTTTTTTTTGGTAACAAATAGTTTAAAACAAGAGAACCCCGGAGAAAAACCCAAACATCCGCATGGCTAAGCACGCCGAGTAACTAAAGTAGGCCAAGACACTCAAGCAATACCGTAAGCAACTAAGGGAGAGGGGAAATACTGACCTCGGTACACTATAATAATCATATACAGCTATTTCGAGAAAGGTTGTCGGGAAAAGTGCACGCGACAATCCTGAAAGGCATTGTGGGTGGTTTTAAGTTCTCTTTTTTTCAAAGAAATTTGAACGAATTGGCACGAAAGGCCATGGAAATGTG